AAAGGCTGAAGCTGCCTCACACCAAATGGTTTCCTAGGCCTCCTACAAATGATCTTCACTATTAACTTGCCACAATACTTGAAAACCTCATTTCTATCTTCTTTAACACTAATAAAGAGCTTTAGGGATCTTCCTGTCAGCTGTATTAATTCTTCAGCGAAGTGCTGTGGATGTCAGGCCTGGATATTAATGTGAGATCCTCCCCTTGATAATTGTGACACTTTAGACAGGCAAGATACTTAATCTTACTGTGACTCTCCTCATGTATTCAAAGGGATAAAAACATCTAACTTATGTGGGGGCCTTATTTTACAAGACAATGCATAAAAATTACCTACTAATTGGCAAAAGCTATTAATGTTCCCTTATTCCTTCCAAAACATTTGTTCATATGGTACAAAGGGAAGAGAATTTTTCACTATTTAAAAAAATTTTTCTAGTATTCCAAGGCCTAGTGGTTTTTATTATCAGATAATGATGACAATTGTGCAAACATGATGTGAGGCCACAATCTTCTTCAAAGCTCTCCTTAAGGTCTGACTTGACCCAAATCTCAGGCACAAGCAATAATAAAAAGTTGCATTTTTGTTATTACGGTGAATTTGAAATTCTGCATAAGGCACTTTTGACAACTCAACTATTTATTAAATGTATTTTCACAAATTAAAGTTTTAAAAAGTTAAAAAAGGAAAAGCTTGATAACCAAAGCTAACACTATGGGAACAGAAAACATGGAAAAAAAAATACATCCAGTGAGATGAATTATCACTGATCCTGCTATTTCTGCTAAAACCTATAGCTGTTTAACATTATAACTTATCTATATTCAATTAAGCCTATGGCACTAAAATAAAATTTTAATGAGGAATCTAAATGATTTACCAGTAAGAAAAAAATTATTACTAATCTGTGTAATGAATAAGTAAATAAAATCATACCATTCAAGTACCAAAAGGAATCTTATAAAGATTACTTAGTTTAACTCTACTACAGGCTTTGAAAGCTATAAAGTCACCAGAACTTTGAATTTATGGGAGCATGTGCAAGCATCTTCTGTTTAAACTTAGAAGAACTTGACTGTCATTTGCCAGAGCATACTTTCTGGCCAATGTACACAGCTGTACTATATAAACTGTACAGGGAACAAACTACTCAGAAATGAGAGAAAATTCACAGAATCTTTTTCTTTCATCAGCTTATACGGCCTTCCAGTGTCCCACCCTAGTTTGAAATTCCTAGTGAATCTTCTAAAAACGTACATGGCTTTGTGAGTTGAATTTTTTTTTTTTTAATTTTAACTTAAAAGTACAATGTTAAAAAGCCCAAGACTGAAGTTTATTATGTACAAAACTGGCTTAAAGTTTTGAAGTGGTATCTATACAATTAATAAGTCCATAGTTTTGAGAGGTGAAGGGCCTTTTAAATATCTTGAGTCCAGTCAGAGAATAAACGAGCCGAATTATTTATTTAGGCTTGGAGCCTAATAGATTACTTACACTTAAGAAAATGAGGTAAAGAAAAACGTTTCCTTCTAGGGAGTCAATCTAGTTGGGTGGTTATCAAAGGGGGTCTCCAGATTAGCAGTACCAGCATCATCTGCGACCTCACTAGTAGTGCAAATTTTTGAGCACTACTCTGATCCGTTGCCGTCGAGTCAATTCTGATTCATACTGACCCTACGGGACACAGTAGAACCGCCCTATAAGGTCACCAAGGCTATAATCTTTATGGAAACAGACTGCCACATCTTTCTCCCACAGAGTGGCTGGTGAGTTCAAACCACTGACCATTTGGTTAGCAGCCAAGCACTTACCCACTGTGCAACCAGGCTCCTGAGTATTACCCCAGAATCACAAAATCAGAACTTCTGGGAATTAAGCCCAGAAATCTGTGTTTTAACAAGTTCTCCAGGTGATTTTCAAATACTAAAGTTTGAGAACCACTGGTATAGTTTATCAGGGTACAGAGCAAAGCAGATTTTTAGGGCAAAAACTGGACATAAAGAGAGTAAATTTCTTTGGAGTATACTTTGAGGCCTTTCTTAGAAACCTAAGTACAGAAAATGGATAGAAAATTATAAATTCTAACAATAGGCATACCTATTATATAATCTACGTAACTACATATTATATATGTCGTTGTTAGGTGCTGTCAAGTTTGGCCCCTGACTCACGGAGACCCCATGCACAACAGGATCAGTCCATTGTGATCCACAGGGGTTTTCACTGGTTGATTTTCAGAAGTACACTGCAAGATCTTTCTTCTAGTCTTACTTAGTCTGGAAGCTCTGCTGAAATCTGTTCAGCATCATAGTAACATGCAAGCCTCCACTGACAGATGGGTGATGGCTTTGCTTGAAGTGCATTGGCAGGGAATTGAACCTGCAACTCTCACATGGTAGGCAAGAATTCTACCACTGAAGCATCACTGCTCTCATATTATATACACTATACACACACACACACACACACACACACATAATACCACATGTAATATATATATTATTGTAATACATAATACATATAACTACGTATCATATTGATATCTTACTCTTTTTCATCACAGTGAAAAAAATACATAATAACAATATTTATGATCTAGTCATAAAAGTCTTAATGTTATATTTGTTCTCAACTTACTCTCACTTGCTAAACAAATGGATTATCCTGATAATCCTATGAGGAAATCATACTAGGAATTATTCCATTTAATAGATAAGAAAACTGAGGCTTAAGTAGGGTAAGTGGTTTTCTTAAGTACACATGGCTGATGACTAGCTAGAGTTCAAATGCAAGATTTCTGGGTTCAAGATCAGGGATTTTTTTACTATGTCATGCAGTGACATATTACTGATTTATCAATTATTTTTATAAAACCATAAAAAAAGAAGTGTTATAATGAGAATACTCAAAATACTTCTACTGTAAACTAGAGAAATCAACCGACATATTGATTAATTTAAATATTCTACCAAAGTAGAATAAAACTCCCAATAATTTTCTCATAGACATTTTCTGGACTTGGAATTTATAGCCCGCAGGTAACTTTTTCAGAGTAAGAGTACAAATCTTTGTCCTCCTTCACATCACTCATTGTTAAGTCTCAAGAAAATATACCCTTATAAGACAAAACATGCAATCTGAAAATGAATACCTGTCCTAAATCAATGTAATACAGATCAGGATAGACCTTTAGGAAAAGGTAACAACAAACAGGGCTGTAAGTGCAACAAGAACAGGTACAATAAATGCTTAGAAATATATAAAAAGTCACTGAAAAACAGAGATAAATGTGAGGATATTTCTATGACCGACTAGCCTGGACATTTTCTCACCTTATCATCTCAGTGGTTAAAGGTAATGTTTAAAAAGCTATTCCTGGCTTCTGAAGATACACTCTGGCAGAAAGTTCTAGTAGGAAATGCACTTGGCAACTCTGCTAGAACTCTGCTGTTTCAGCAGAGCTAATATATCTAATCTGAAATGACTGAGTAAACATGCGCACAGATCCTTTTCCACTGGTTCTTAAATTTCCTCTCTATTGAAATAACCTGCATTGGTTTGAGGACTTCCTATACTGCTCTGAGAAGGTTACAGAGATTATTAAAATGATTACTGAACCCAATCTAGAAGTGATTTTTATATTATAGCAGTGTGGATTCTGCATTAGAAATAATATTTAATGAAAGCCATTCTCAATATTTTTTGACAATTTACAATGGAGGAAAGTTAAGTATTTAGAATTGTAACAGAGCATATGCTTTCTAGGAAGTAACATTATTTTATTCAATTTTTGAAAACTGTATGTATCAACAAAACTCACACCTAGCACAGGGCTTAACTTTAATCTCATCTTAATTTTATCACAATTTTCTGACAACTTTTTCTGTAAAAAGGTGTGAGGAGTATCAAAATAAATGTAACACAACACAATTCTAAATGTGAACTGGTCAGGGATTTGTTCAGTAAAATTTACTTAAGAGAATACTCTGCCATTCTGTAGTCCTGATATGGAATCAGAATGATTTCCAAGACTAAGAGCAAAACAAGGTACAGAATAATATACATAATATACTTATGTTCTATAAAATGGGTGGAAGCCCCCAAAATATATGCAATTACTTGTACATGCACACAGCATCTTTAGAATGATGCATAAGAAACTAGTAACATTGGCTGTGTGCAGAGAGGGAAACGCTGTAGCTAGAGGACAGAAGTGGGAGGGAGCCTTTTCACTGTATATTATTTTTGTCTTTTGAATTATACGCCACTTCCAAGTATTATCTATTAAAGAAAAAAAAAAACCTCCTTCTTTTGATATTCCCTATGTTATATGCCTAGCTCATAATTTTCTAAGCTCATTACTGCTTTCCTGGCATTATATTATTTTTCAAATCAATACCCACTTAGCAGTGGGTGCCTGCACAGCTTCTATGTGCTTTTATATATGACAGCCTTTAGAAGAACATTAAAATGAAATTGCCTGCAGACTCCAACTGTTACATGCAAAGAAAGTTGAGATCTAAACGTGCTTTCGAAATAGATTACGGGAGAAACTGAGTGTTCTAGTCAATACTTTTCTTCTCCATAAAAAAGTCTTGTCTTTTAGAGATGAGGTTTTGTGTCATCTTTAATATTCATACTCCTAATTGAGTATCAAAGAACCCTGATGGCACAGTGGTTAAGTGCTCAGCTTGTAACCGAAAGGTTAGCAGTTCAAACCCACCGGCCACTTCGTGGGAGAAAGATGTGGCAGCCTGCTTCTGTAAAGACTGACAGCCTTGGAAACCCTATGGGGCAGTTCTATTCTGTCCTACAGGGTCGCTGAGTCGGAACAGACTCGATGGCAGTGGTTTTGGTTTAATTAGGTATCAAATCTAGTACTTCACTGTGCAAAGTATATGCGGATGTACAGATGTTTTATAAAATGAACTCAGTAAACATTATGCACATACTTTTTTTCATTAAAAAAAAGTAAAATTGAAACAAAAACATTCCTACCTTTAAAAATCTTTCGTTGGTCAATAATGCAACTTGCTTCTCTGAAGCTTGATTTTCCACATACCTAAAATTTTTACAAACCCATATACAAAAAGAGAAAATTAAATATTCTAATTATCTGAATAGCATGTAGGGAAAAAAGAACTACTTTTCCTAGATTGGTGGGCACCTTTTTAATTTCTTCTCAAAATTAAATTCAAGGTGATAGTCATGGTTCAGTGGTAATTTTTAACTCCATAAATCAGCTGCATTTCATAGTCTGGGGGTGTAATCATAAACAAAGGCCATAAACCCCAAACACAGGAAACATTATTTCTAAAAATTAACTTCAGTGAACTCACAAATTATGTGCCTTTGTAAAAAATATTTTTATTTATGCCAAATTTTTGAATCCAACAAATAAATCCTACAATTAAAAACAGAAGGACTTTATTTTGCTCTAAACAAAACAAAAAGCTTAAGTTATTTTTCCTTTCCCCTCCTCAAAAACAACTGATTGAAATCCCTTATTTTTCCCCAAACTCTCTATAAATGTGTTATGTATCTCTTTCTCTTTTTACCTCCTAAAGGATGGAAGACGTCGGATGTTTTCACATTGAACGTGTGATAAAAAATTTATTCTTCTTTTCGCTTCTGGGAGATTACAGCACAAAACACTGAGTGGTTGGGAATAGAAATGCTCTAATAGAGAAAGCTGAAAGAAATACGAAAATTAAATATATTTGTTTTATTTTGGCAATAAATCTTTTGATCTATGCCTGCTCAATTTTAAGGTTCTGGTTTTTTTTTTTAAGAACAGAAGTTTTTATGGCATTAATACATTTAATAGTATCACAATAAAACTGCGAATACTACATAAACGGCAATATACCTTTAATATTTTAAGATTTCAAGTTTGCGGACAAGGTCAGAAAATGGTAATTCTGAAATATAAACTACGGAAACTTACGTACGCAGATAGATTAGCTAGCTGCAGAAGCAATTCACTTAAGATAATTGTAAACGTGGTGCAGATGGGACTGGGGTGTCACCTGAGAGTCCATCAGATGTTCAAACACTCGTAAGAAAATATAAATCTAATATCAATATAAAAACTGGTCTTTTACAATAAATAAAAATGTTACAATGGGAGAAGCTTTGTTTAGTAATAAAAAGGAATAATGAAAAATGAATGATAAAAAAAGTTATTTCTTTAAATTGCAAACATGGTAGCATGTCTGATAGATAGATACAAGTATTTTAGTAACTAGAATGCGATGGTCTCCACAGTGGAAGGCGGGATGATTTTCCACATTCTAACAACTTGCCAGATATCTCAGAAGACTATCCAAATGTTAAATACTCTGATTCTAAGCAACGTTCTCATGACCAATTTGGTTTTCTACCTACTTTGATATGTGAAAGATGGTTCCCCAGATAGTGGATATAAACATTCTGGTCACTGGAAAATGGTATTTCCATCACAAATTAATAAATTAACATGTTAGGTTATGTATCAGCCCTAAGGTATTAGATTGGCAAGAATCAGTGATCCTGAGCTTGATCCTTCCTGAGTGAATTGACAATGAATCTCTGAGCCTACAGAGCTGAAGATCAGATACCCAAGGATGGAGGAAATCCTCTAAAACAGTCTGTTCCCTAAGGTTGTAAGGTAAAGGGCCCATCAAATTTAGCAACAAAGGATTGAAGTTGTCAAGGATTTTATTTTACTTAGATCCACAATCAACGTCCATGGAAACAGCAGCCAAGAAATCAAATGACGTATTGCATTGGGCAAATGTGCTGCAAAAGACCTCTTTAAAGTGCTGAAAAGCAAAGATGTCACCTTGAGGACTAAGGTGCACCTGACCCAAGCCATGATATTTTCAATCGCCTCGTATGCTTGTGAAAGCTGGACAATAAAGAAGGAAGACTGAAGAAGAATTGATGTCTTTGAATTATGGTGTTGGCGAAGAATCGTGAATATACCATGGACTGCCAGAAGAATGAACAAGTTGGTCTTGGAAGAAATATAGCCAGAGTGCTTCCTAAAGTGAAGACAGTGAGACTTTGTCCCACGTACTCTGGACATGTTACCCAGAGGGATCAGACCCTGGAGAAGGACATCATGCTTGGTAAGCTAGAGGGTCAGTGAAAAAGAGGAAGCCTCTCAATGAGATGGATTAACACAGTGGCTACAACAATGGGCTCAAACATAGCAACAATTGTGAGGATGGTGCAGGGCCGGGCAGTGTTTCAGTCTGTTGTACACGAGGTCACTATGAGTGAGTCGGAACCAACTCGACGGCACCTAACAACATATGTATTATATAACAGTTATATAGTGTGTGTGTGTGTGTGTGTGTGTGTAGACACATACATATATATATAATTGTCATATAATTGAGTTATACTTCAATTTAATTTCACATATTGCTAATTTTCTTGCTTTAAAATACCCTTTTTATAGAGCCAAAGCTGGGGGAAAAAACCACATATTAATCATAAGAAATCACTACAGTGTTTTTATGCAGAAGAACACGTGAGAAATAATACAGAACTTCCAAGGCACTACACAAGCATATAGTGAGTTACTATCATATTGCACTTACTACTACAACATGTAGGTTTTAATCAGCTTGACAACTGGCATGTGTTCACAATGACTACATTTTGCTAAGATAATTTAAGTAGTTGCCAAGAAAAGGAAATTATATTAACTTTTAAACAATTGGATAATGGGACCTTCTTTTTTTAGATTAGAGCAGATGTTCTGAAGCTAAGTTCATGAATTTGCATTTGTCAATTCATGAGGCCCTGGTGAAAATGCACTCCAAGTATATAAGAAGAAATATAAATACACACACACACACACACACACGCAGCGATCAGCAAACTATGGCTCACAGCCTGTTTTTTATGGCCCAGGAGCTAAGAATGATTTTTACATCTTTAAAGAGTTATATTAAAAAAAACAAAACAAAAAAGAAAGAGACAAAAATATGTAACAGAGACCAAATGCAGTCTGCAAAGCCGAAAATATTTAATATATCTGGCCCTTTACAGAAGTTTGCTGACCTCTAATATATAGCATTTCCTAGATAAAAGGTCCATAAGCTTTCATCAGATTTTCAAAAAGGTCCCGCTTCCACATTCTCCAAATGGTTAGGAATCACTGGAATGGAATGAGGTCTTTTTCTACTACTGATATCCCAATTAATATGGTCTCTATATTTAGCTAAAACGTAACCAAAAAATGATAGAATCTTGAATAACAGAACTTGAATTTATTTACTCTAGATACTACCTTTTAAAAGGGCTTAAATATCAGACTAGTCAGTCTGAAATAAACATGTAAATTTATTTACAATCAGCTTGTGAATTTTCAAACTCATTAGTTAGCGCTTCTTACCTGAAGTCCTTTTATAAAATTCTGAATTGAGAAATCGTGATACAAAAAGATGTTGGTTAGAACCTGTAACACTTTTTCACTTAGTTTAAAGGGAAACTGAGTTGTAAGAAGTAGCTGAAAGATATAAAGGGGAGGTGGGGACAGAAACACACTATTCATAAAAATATGAAGTATAAATAATAATGCAAAGAATGATACTATGACAGAGTAATCAAGAAAGCTGCAATTGTAGCTAGTTTTTTTTTTTTTAGGTAAAATATCAACCAATTTTTAAATTAACTTATACAACAGTAACAACAACCCAAAAGAAGCTGTTCATAAAACATCTTCAGAAGCAACAGTGGCCATTATCCTCCATCCAATTCCTAATTTTTAAAAAGTACCCCATTTTAACTATTTAACTCTTTTTCTCCCACCAGAAGCCACTGAAGAAGCCTTTGGCAATTCTTGTTACCAGATTTCTATCTCTAACAATGCAAATTAAGGAAGAGTAATGCATCATGCACCGCTGAATGAAGAATACAACAAAGTTGACAGATGTCTACTTTGTATCATTCAGCTAATTTTCAATGGCCTATAGTGAAGATTTTACACCTGAAAATGAAAGTCACACGAAGCTTCTTCTACAGAATAAACAGAAGCATAGTCATAGAAGGCCAACTGAATTTGGCCACAACAAAGCAGTTGCAAATACTGTAGCTGGAAAAATTTTCCCTTAAGTGCCAGGAAATCAGATGGGTATCATCTTTATGGGGGGAAAAATGTAGAAGTTAAGTAAATAAGTGGCAGGCTGTCATTAGTTCACCTCATGTAAACAGCAGAGTCTAGCAACAATTTGTGGAAGGTCAATACTAAAAAAATAATATTTCTACATGTATAGAAACATTATAGTAGCTAAAGTCTGGGAAATTTTTATTATCTGTTTGTTCTCAAGAGCAGCATGACAGCTAGGAAAGAGTGCACTAAAAACTTCAAATCATTTTATGTAAAATGTAAGTCAGAACGTTGTTATTACTAGAAATTCTATAAATTCTGTAAATATTTATTTTAAAGGCCTACATTTTTCCAGTGACTAATGATATATATCTGTATACCCGCACACACCTATATATTATCATTCCTCTCATAAAGCTTATATTTTATCTGAAGAGGAAATACTATACCAGTATGAAAATCATTAAATAAAAACAATTAAAATAAGTGAAGAAATATGTTCAATATAATTCTACCCTGAGAGATGTAGAGATTTACCATTAACATTTATATTTACAATCTATTCTTGGCAGTTTTCTTTTCATCCTATGTCACTGACAGAATTTTTTCTTTTTACCTTATCAAGTACTATAGTCAGGTGCTCCTTGCAAGACACAGATTGGAATAGTTCTATACACAATAGTGATGACACTGCATGAGGAAGCAACCGGTGGATGATAATAGGAGATGTGGCGATTCCAAAAATGAGTATTAGTGGAAATTCATGTAGATGTTGACTAGTTTTCAAAGGAAGACACAAAAGTGGAATTTCCTTAGCAATATATTTCAATACATCATATCAAAATAAGACAAATTTTATTTAAACAACTACTTTATAAGCCACTGCTAAGACGCATCATTCCAAATACTAAAATTTTCTAGGTCACCCATTTTCCTTTTCTAAAGTAATACAGAAATAGATATTTCCAGACACTCTAGCTCTGAAACCAAGCTATTAATGGATCTTCTCATTTTATAAATAAGAACATATAGGTCCAGAGAGACCAGGTGCTTTCCCCAAGGTTGTACAACCTCAGGTGTTAAAGGAGGTATTAGATATCATTCATTTTAACCTCTCACTCAAACCTCACAGTTGAGTATTTAGCCTATGCTTTGAGTTCAGTGATATGACACTAATTTTCAAGGTAATTTTTTCTATCTGTGGAGATTTCTAACAGATACTATGTCACTCAGCTATAACAGCTAAGAGTTAGAAAACTTCTAACACATACATAAGACATCTTTTTAATGGACAACATTTAAAAATGTTGTATCCCCTCCTTGTAGTATTAAATCAAACTTATTAACCATGTATCTCTTAGCATTATCAATATGAATGCAAATTACTTCCACAGAGTCATTTAGTAAAACAGTGCTATCGTTGGGGGCTACAGCAGGTCAGAGTCCTTTGTTTCAAGGCTGGTATTTTGCTTGCTTCCCTCTGTTAGCTATTACTTTTCAGTATTCTAGCTGTATGCAGTTCTATCTTCATAGGGAGCAAAGTGCCTGGACTCTCTTACTGTTCTAAGTTCTTTTTCCTTACTTTTGGTGGTTAGTCACAAGTCCGAGCTCCAAAAAAGTGGAGCTTTACTGTTGCTATTCCATACCATGCATGATTCTAGCATGTTAAACAGTTCAATGTTAGCATTAAGAAAAGTCTTAGAAAATGTTCTGCATTCTACTTTGGTGAGTGGCCTCTGGGGTCTTAAAAGCTTGCAAGCTTACTTGAAGTAAAGGAGAACAAAGAACACCAAAGACACAAGGAAAGTATTAGCCCAAGAGACAGACTGGGCCACATAAATCAGAGACTTCATCAGTCTGAGACCAGAAGAATTAGATGGTGCCCAGCTACCACCAATGAACGTCCTGACAGGGAACACAACAGAGAGTACCTGATGGAGCAGTAGAAGGATGGGGTGAAGAACTGAAATTCTAGCAAGAAGACCAGACTTAATGGTCTGACTGAGACTGGAGGTGCCCCGGAAAGCATGGCCCCTGGACTCTCTATCAGCCCAGAACTAAAACAATCTCCGAGGCCAACTCTTCAGACAGGGATTGGACTGGATTGTGGGACATAAAGTGATACTCCTGAAGAGTGTGCCTCTTAGTCAAGTAGATACAAGAGACCAAAGGGGCAGCTTCTGTCCAGAGGTGAGATGGGATGGCAGAGAGGGTTAGGAGCTGGTTGAATGGTCATGGGGAATCGGGCGGAAAGGAGGAGTGTGCTGTCGCAGAATGACGTGAGCAATTACGGTCTCATAACAATGTATGTATAAAAATTTCGTATGGGAGACTAACTTGAAATGTAAACTTCATTTAATTACAACAATAAAAAAAAAAAAAAAAGAAAAATCTTAGGACCTATAAATTTTAGAGTCAATGGAAAAAGAGATACTATCAAAATAGGAATTATATTAATAAATTATAATTCTATATAGCTTTAGGCAAATGTAGTCATAACTATTAAGGCAAGTTAACATATAGAAGAGGCCAAAATAAATTACATCCTAAAAATGGGAAATGCATACCAGTGGATTTTAAAATAGGATTTGTTACTCCAATTCTGAGTCTCACAGGATTACCTTGAAGATCTGAGATCAAGAAAGTAATTTCTCACTATAAACATTATATAAATATAATGCTATTCAGAAAATATTCTTGCTCAGTAGAGCTATAGGTAACTCAAGAGTCTCTAAGGGCAGATGAAAAAATAACACCTGACAAAAATATCTCAACCTGGAGCAATTTATCTGTTTAATGGGCAAGTAAGAGACTAACAACCTTAGTGAGATAAACTACATCTCATACTGCCTCACCATGCTAATTAGAAACTGGCTAACTTCTGTCTTTTGATTCTCAGTTTTGGATCAAAAAGCAAATGAAAAATTTGACAGGAAGTCTTTGAACATTAAGAACGTGAAATTACTTCAGTTTCTATTCAATTGGTATTAAAATGAAGATTAAATTGTCATTTATTTCTCTGAAAACTGCTGCTTTTTAAGTTAAAACAAACATTTCCTTAATAAAAAGAGAATTTTAGCACAAAAGCTAGGTAACACACCATCTACCTGATGATAATTATGAAGTCTTGAAGCACTTTTGTGGTGAAGCTTTCCATATCCTTCAAGATAAGCACAACAGGAGGACACTGCCATTCGCTAGACAAAGTCCTTTTTTTGCTTGGCAATTTTGGGTCTGTCTTCTTTTAAGTGATTGTGGAAAGAAGAAGTTAAAAATAAGCCTTACCACAGAAACAATATATAATACCACATGTTCATATATTTCCCTTTACAGTTCACAGTAATAGTTTCTCTTATTTCTTCCACATAATAAATAGAAACTCATTCCAACAGTTACTAGCAGTATTTTTCTGTCTGACATGGGAGCAATAACAAGAAAAAGGTTCAGTAAAATCTATAACTGATGTAAAATATTTATACTTTCTGCTATCTGCAAAAATGACAGGAAAAGCATGGGGAAAAGAAAATTTTCCACAAAACTGATTTTTCTGTTGATAGACTACTACAGTTTGCTTTGAAGTGAGAACTAGCATTTTTAATAAAAAAGCATAGTGAATAATACTAGTTGCCGTTCTGTTACTCTGAAATTTCAAGTTTGGAAAGAACATTAAATATCATCTGGTTTGATCATGATCTATTAAAGATATCTGACATAAATTACAAATAGCATTTGATTTAAAGAAATTCTATTAATTAAGCCATTATGGTAAGCATTAGACCCAGTTTTGCTCTATATAAAGCAAAACAGGTATTTTCATGAACCCTTGCTTATGATGATAAAAATGTTGATTAGAAAATATCACTACAAAATTTTTCTCCACACTGGCTGGCTACACAGCATCATAAACTAAGACTATGTTTTTATGGTGCAGAAAGTCATTAGCTTTCACCAGATACTGTCATGGTAGGATGGAACCTCTTTTGCTTGTTATATATATTTTATTTACGCAGCATTTATTCCCAAAGAACTTTAAGCACAAAACATGTTAGATTAAAACAAATAAACAAAACATGATTATTCCTCACAGGGCTAAGTTGACAGTATACTGGCAGCATGATTCTACCGCACAAAAGATAGTAAGAAATAATGTGTTAAAGCTACAGTCATTGTCACAGAGATAGAATCTGCAACAGAACCAACTCCTGATGCTGTTTTTGTCACCAGATGCCATTTGCCCACACATAAGATGTCCTTGTAAGAGTCTAAGCACTTACTAGGAATTAGACTGCATTCTAATAAAAGAATACTTTTAAATTCTAGTAGTCTTAGGAAAAATAAGTAGCTACTACTATATTAACAGCTAGTGCTGCATAAGCATATCCTTCTTAGGATAAAATAGTACGAAGTCTTATATAATTCCCAGTTTCTTCAATCATATGCCAATTTCCTAGGAGAAAACTGTCAGTTTACATTTACCTGTGTGACATTCCTATACCAACTGGAAAGGAAACCCACTGAATAATATGTCTTTTTCTGGGTGACCTGAACACTCTCCTCTTCTTTGGATTCCACATCTACACAACAGTCCATCAATTGTGAGGCCAGCTTTTGCAAAAAATGCTTCACATCTGCAGAATATAAAAAAAAAAAGCTTACTGCCTCTTAAAACATATTTGAAGGCCCTGAAACTTCTTGATTGAATAATACATTATTTGAGTAGAATGTTTTCCTACACTTTTCATCAACATAACTGACATAACATTTAACATATTAACTATTAATGCTCTCTTAATATTTAAAATTTCATTAATTCATAATAAGACCAGGCCAAAGGTTATATGTATTATCTGTAATAAAAGTGTTACCTAAGTAAACGTGTAAGCATGAAAACTATAAATTATTTTAGGAATAATATATATTTAAACTACACTGGACCACAAAATGTTTTCAAAGTCCCTAAAGAACATCAAAAGAGTTACTTACATAATTTTACTGATTACTAGTCTTCATTATAGTCATCTTTAAAGGTGTCCTAAGCACTTTTAGAAACTCTGGTGGCATAGTGGTTAAGAGCTACAGCTGCTAACGAAAAAGTCGACAGTTCCAATCTACCAGCGCTCCATGGAAACCCTATGGGGCAGTTTTACTCTGTCCTGCAGGGTCGCCATGAGCTGGAATTGACTTCACGGCAACGGGTGTGTTTTTGTTTTTGTTTTTTTTTTAAGTGCTTTTACTTAATTCCAATCAGTGTATGAATATGAAAGTAATATAAGCACATAAAACCCTTATGTCAGTCCAAATCCAAACACATTTTACAGCACAGGTGGACCTTGACTTACGACATATTGGAGTTATGACAAACAGCACTTATATCCATCTGTTTTGTTTATACATCTTATTGTTAATAATATGTACTACATACAATGTTGCAGCATGTAATTTGCTGATGTTATCACTCTCACATGTTCACCTGCAGATGTTCAGAAATTAGCTTTATAAAGATACAGATAATAAAAGGCAATAATAATGAAAATTTTAAAAAAAGAGAGATATTTAACTTATGTCAGAACCAACTTACGATGGAGTCCGCAGAAAGGGGCCCTGTTGTAAGTTGGGGACTATCTGTATTAGTATCCACATCCTTTGTGATTTGATGGCTTCAGATACTCAAGATTAGCTCTACCCATGGACCACTTTTACCATGGTGACCTTTCAAATCGGGACAATAAGATAATTTCAGACTGCAAATATGAGCCCATGTAGTTTACTCTCTGTTGGGCTAAATAAAAGCTCCCCGTTTCCCAATTCTCAGCTCCCCAAACCTTTCTAATTATCAAAAGTTTCATTAGGTTAAGGAATACATCTTTTAAATGCCTGGACTACTACTGGCAGTGAAGGTGGTACAGCGGGGTGGAGCCAGAATAAAGGAAGTAAAAGGTAGTAAACAGCCCTGCAACAGTCAGGATCACTCTAGGAGGCACTAAACCTCGCTCTGTCAAAAATGTAGCATTGTGCTCGTCTCACAAATAAAAAGGGATAGAGAAAGAAAGAAGGAAAGAGAGAGGAAAAAAGAGAGAAAGAGAAGTGTAACATTTCTCTGAGGTTATTACAGCATTTATTCTTTACCTGGACAATCTTTAGCTTGCAATGAAACTACATATGGTGTGACATTATTCTGAAGGGCCTCTGTTAGACTTCGAAATGTTAAATCATGATCTGTTACATTCACACCTATGGGATAATATATCAATACTGAATCACCATTTTTATTAATAATAATTAAACAACAAAAGACGTTTAACGTGTCAAGTAAACAACCAAGTAAGGACATTTCAAAAACATGATTAATAACAGAAACCAAGAAAATCTACTGCATAAATAAAGAGATATCCAATAATGGTAAATATCTAGATGTATAAACTATACTTATTTGGTAGGAAAGATATTCAGTACAATTCTTCTTTGAAAAAAATTACTAAGATGTATACTTGACCCTTGAAAATGTCTTAAGAGTAATTTCATTGTTTTGCCAAATAAATAAAGAGCTCTTTAAAATAATTATTTGAAAATAAGGGGCTATGAATCCCAGTCTTACTGCGACCCTGACTAAGCCTGCTTAACAACTGAGGAGAATCCAGCCATTAACCGTCACAGCACTGGATACAACAGGTAAAGAGTACACTGAGCTGATTTCTGAGGGAAGAGCCTTAAAACGAATTAAAACTATGGATCCTTTTGGTATTCACCAAACCTATGGTTCTCACGTCCGCAACTAAAGAGTTTTAGTGCTCTGCATATAGTTATCAGAGTGGAATGGACATTTCCCCACTACTTTTCTAAAGATTCTGTTAACTGATATCCTCTCTAAAGTAACAATCTGTGGTTTCTAGAATGTACTTTGATGCTTAGGCAGGTGTCAAGCAGCAGACACCTTGAAATTGCTTGAGACTTGCTACTATAAAATTCCCACTGCTTGAAAGGCAGCAGGTTCCGAATCATCTACACCAGCAATAAGCAACTTTATTCTTTTCAGGAGAATCAACAAATAAAAATGTTGGCAGGCTATTTTTTAAATAGGAATATATCTTTTTGAAATCAGATAATGGGCAACTGTGCTTAAGCATTCTTTGAGTATAGACTTTTAATATAGTATCAAAACTAAATTCCTAGCATGCACTATGGTCTATAATTGTAATGTTGCCGCTCCGAACATATTTGGGAGTTCAGTAAAACACTGGCTTATTTTATCTTTCACTCACTGACTATATGCTATTTAACATTATGTTCCTTAAAACAATGGACTTGTATATTACAAACAAGATAATATATGTCAACTTGAAAAATGTTTTCCTTAGACCTCTTCTCCTTTTGGCAGTAGGTAGAACACGGATTTAAACTTTCTTTAGAAAATACTACCTGCTACTCTTGTACCAACAGTGCTCTCACAACCACCTATCAGTCCATCCCTCTCGGTTGTGTCCCCTCCCCCTCCCCTTCACCTCCATTTGCTGTAACCCGGTAGTAGAGAAACAAAGCACCTAACAGTACAAGCGGGCCATCACTGGGCCTCTTTTTCTCATCCATAAATGGAAGGGGTTTGTGATGGTTAAGACTGTGTGCCAATTTGGCTGGACCACGATTCTCATTCATCACTGAATAGACTGTGAATAGCGAATCAGATGAAAGGGAGTGTCCTTGGGGGTGTGACCTGCATCTGAATATAAGCAGACGTTCTGGCTTTTTGCTCTCTCTGGATCCTGCGGCTGCCCACTACTGTCTCATCTCCAGTTCTTGGGACTTGAGATATCAGCTTATCTGTCAAACTTGGGATTCATAGATCTTCACTACCTGTGAGTGAAGACCTGCTCTCTGACCTGCCGATCTTGGGTTTGCCAGCCCCTGAAGCTATGTGAATCAGGAGAAACCTTGTGGTCTTGCCTGCCGATCCTGGAATTTGTCAACCTTCACAGCCTGTGATTGGGAGCCCAGCTCTCTGACCTGCTGATCATGGGCTCACCAGCTTCTGCGGCTGCGTGACTTGGGAGAGGCCCCTACCCTGAGCCACAGACTTGGGACGTTCTAGCCTCTATAATCATGTGAGCTGTTTCCTTGATATAAATCTCTCCCTCTCTATATATATATTTATACGCTTTATTGGTTTTGCTTCTCTAGAGAATGCAGCCTAAGACAGGGCTTTTGAAATTAGATGGCAGGCCACACTGTAAAGCTGGACTATAGCATAAAAATCATTTCCTGAGTCTTGCTCTCAAAGTGTGGTCCCGGGACCAGCAATATGGGCATCAACTTGAACCTGTTAGAAAAAAAGAATTTCAGGCCCTACCCTAGACCTGTTAATGAAAATCTGCATCTTAACAAGATTCCCAGGTTATATTTGCAGGTACATTAAAGTTTGAGAAGTATTGCCCTGAGTATCAGGAATAAGACTTAGGTAATGAACAGTACTAAACACAGTATTAAAACAGAATTAGTTTTTTGTCTCAGAGCTCACTAGTATAATAAACCCTGAATAAATAACAAATTGGAAGTGGAGAGTATATTTGGAATCCATGTATATTCAACTTCCTTTTAAAAAAGAATGAAGAAAATCTGCTAATATTTAAAATTTTTTTTTCCATTATCCTGCATTCCAAATGTATGGTAAAAATGGAATATTACCCATGACAGTTATTTAAGTACCTAAGAAGTTTACAACCTGCAATCTCAAAGGAATTTATATATAACTTCTCCAAATCCTCTTCTGAGCAACTCATGTTAATACAACAAAATGATTCAGAGATTAAAAAACAAGTACAAAAATTTAAATTAAGGTCACAGAGTAATTCCACTGAAGATATGACTGAAAAAAGGATAAAAATCCATTCTACTACCACACTGGTGCCTTCTTTATTATCAAATCCAAATCTCGCATATCCTCATGCTATATCTAAGGAATTAAAGAGAAAATAAACAAATATTTTCCTCATCATTTTTCTGAAAATTAGCAAAAAACTGAGGTAAGCATTAGTTAACCCTGGATCAACTTCTTTTAATTTACAGATAGTATTTTAATTTACAGACAGTGTGATCAGTATTAAGAACTTTTATTGGTTTTGAGGGTATGTAGAGCAAACTATAACTGGTTTAATTCTGTAAGTCAGAACAGGTTATTCCTCACTATTCTCAACAGCAAAACAACCACTAACACCAAAAAACAAAATATATGCATGCATGGATACACACACACTCATACCTAGAACAAGTGCAGCAGTTGGAATTTCTCTGAGTTTTATTTGACAGCTCCAGTCTGTTGAATTCTTCTGGAATCCAGAATGAGACTTTTGCAGAAATTCAATTAGACTGTCAAACAGGTTTTTATTTAATTCCTCTTGTAATTGCTACAAAGAAAACACCAAGCTCTATGAATTATTATCAGTAGTAATCAGATGCATCTTTTCTGGTTTTGGGAAGAAAATTGTCATAGACTGTCATAGATTTAATTCCAAGGCTATATGTAAAATGATTATTAGATGGATGATATAAAAAACGTTTTTTCTTAGACCTCTAGTGATTAGTGCTTTGGATTCCCCAATTAAGAAACCTCTCTCATTTATTCATTTATTCACTCAACAGACTTTTACTAACTACCTTACAAGTGAAAGATAGTCTCCATCCTAAAAAAGTGGAGGATGTGGACAAGAATACTTACAATTCAAATATAGTATGTAGAGTGCTATGATAATATAGAAGCAAAGAGAACGACCATTTAACTCAAGGTGAGGAGGGGATATACTTGAATCAAGTCTTAAAGGGACAACAAACTGGAAACCACAAACTCAGATAACCTTCAAGAGCCACATGGAATACATGAACGAGGAATAAAGAGTTAAATAAACAAATTTTCCTGGAAATTAACCACTGACTATAAAGCAATAAAGAGTGGTGGGACGCAGCAGTAAACTGTAAAGTACACACACCTCCTCCCAAAGGCATTACAAAACCAAACAAAATACAACACTGTGTTGGCCAAACAATACAAGTCTGCTTGAGATACTGGCCCTGAGGCTATCAATTTGCTAGAGTGAAGAAATGTTTGAGCTGGAATATAAAGAACATGGTAACTGGATATAAAGATGAGGGTGTGAAAGAGTTTAGAAATAGCTCGATTTCTTACTTGTTTAACTGAATGGATAAAGTATGCTGCCATTTAAAAGCAGTGAGAATAGGTAAAAGTCTCCTTGCCTTAGCAGTTATCATAATAAACATGTATTCTAGTACATGAAGAATGCTTCATATTTGGGACATGAGTTTTTTTTTTAGCATTAAAAATTATCCTTGACCATTATTTCCTGTATTTCATTAATATGCTTGTAAATTGGTGAAAAGGAAGATGGGAAGCACCAAATATGAGATTTATGGTATAAGAGAAATGTTAGCTTATCAAAAAAAGTCGTCACCTCAGTTTCAGATTTCATCTGTTGCCATATCAGCTGGTAAGTTTCAAATCGGAGCTTACTGTCTTCAGACACACTTTTCCCTTTATTAAAATAGTCCTCTAAAAACAAAGAAAGAAATAATCAGTTTTTTAAATTAATTTTTATATTACAAAAGTTGGAAAATCTCTGTGCAAAGTCATACAATAAATAATGGAGCTGAATTATTTTTGTATACCTGGAAAAATAAATATATGGGGATAAACACCAAAACCCATTGCATTTGAGTAGATTCTGATGCATAGCAACCCAGTAGGATAGAGTACAACTGTCCCACAGGGTTTGCAAGAAGTGGCTGGTGGATTCTAACTGCCGATCTTTTGGTCAGCAACCAAATTCTTAACCACTGTGTGCCACCAGGGCTCCATATATGGGGTGCAGTGTTAATTGATTACTTTTGTGTGGACTTTCTAGCCAGGGTTTTGTAACTCCCACCCAGGTGATTGGGCGGAACTGTGTGACAGGATAATTGTGGCCTAAGGAGATCGGTCGGTTTCGCCTTAAAAAGGAGCCAATTCCAGAGCAGAGAGGAGGATCCCACCACCACAAGGAAGAACAGCCAGGAGCGGAGAGTGCGTCCTTTGGACATGGGATCCCTGCACTGCGAAGCTCCTGGAAGCAGGAGACTGAGAGAGCAAGCTGTAATGCTAAAGGCGGTGAGAAGCAGCGGCAGGAGAGACCTAGCAGCAGGAGACGGTGCAGTGGGCTTCCCTGCATGGTGAGCTTCCCCACCCACATAGAGAGAAAGCTGAGCGCCTTTGGGTAGAGGCTTAGGGCCAGGGAGAGGCACGCCTGCGAGCATGGCTGCAAGAGGCTGTCCTGATGAAAGAACTGTATCCTTGCATGTTCTGGAGCCTGAATTGTAACCTTTTATTCCCTAAAAAACCCCATAATCCTAAGTATGCTCTGTGAGTTCTGTGTGGCCTCTGCAATTAATTATCAAACCCAACAGAGAAGTAGAGAGTGCTATGGGAGGGATGGTTGGTGTCAGGGTTGGTAAAGATGGCCGAGAGAGGAGGTACCCACCGCCTCACAGGAATCAGCCTTGGGCTGTTGATCTCAGTTCTCCTTCCCCCTTGTGGGGTTGGAGGAGGTCAGCCACTGCCCCAAGCCGTTTCTACATAGGGATAGGTAACATCAATATCCTTTATGTCTAATATTATTTATATATATCTTATATTTTTACTATATTAATTATATCTTAAGATTAAAAATGGCTTTTTCATTTTTAAAATGCATTTCTGTCATTTGCTCTTTGAATTTCTAGCAGTTTTTATTTAATGTTTTTGGTTTAAGGCATATACGTTTAATATTACTGTGTTTTCACTTGATCTTATTCTATGATCTAGTACACTTCATATTATTTGCTTTGAACTCTCCTTTATTAAATGATTACTACTACTACTATCTTGTTCTTTTGTTTGATTGATACAGTTGAGTCCAGTCTTTTATTTAGTCTGTCTGTATTTTTTAGTGTTTTCAAAATGGTCAGCCATCTGTCTAAATACTATTTATTGTGGTGGTTTTTAAACTTTCAAATCATGAGCCACGTTAAGCAATGCATCACAACCCAACATACATACATATAACAGATATAAAATGAAAAGTATCACAAAACAATACTCACTCTTATTATATATGATAGCAATTCTTTTTTTTCCTATTCTCTCTCTCTATTTTTAAATGCTACCATGACCCACAAATTGACTTCATGAGTCCCACATGGGTTATGACCTTCAATTTGAAAAAACAGACACATTGAATATTCTATCCTTTCACTGATTTGAGATGCCCTTAAATACTCATACATACTTGGAAGTATTTTTGAACTTTCTCTTTTGTTCTCCTGAATCCAACTCTATTCCTATATCCGTCCTGAACTGTTCTAATTACTGTAGCTGTTGTTGTTAGATGCCATCAAGTCGGTTCTGACTCAGTGACCCTATGTACAACAGAAAGAAACACTGCCTGGTCTCGCACCATCCTCACAATCCTTGCTATGTTTGAACCCACTGCTGCACCCACTGTGTCAAACCATCTCATTGAGCGTCTTCCTCTTTTTTACTGACCTTCTACTTTACTAAGAATGATGTCATTCTCCAGGGACTGGTCCCTCCTGATAACATGTCCAAAGTACATGAAACGAAGCCTCATAATCCTCCCTTCTAAAGAGCATTCTGGCTGCACTTCTTCTAAGACAGCTCGTTCCTTCTTCTGGCAGTCCATGGTATATTCAATATTCTTCGCCAACACAATAATTCAAAGGTATTGATTCTTTTTGGGTCTTCCTTAATCGTGTACTGCAGCTTTGTAGTACATTTTAAGACCAAATAGATCCTTATCTTTGCCCTATCACCACCAAACATTGTTTTACTTTTTCAAAAAATCTTTCGCTATTCTTTCAAATTAATTTTACAATATTTTTACCACAATTTCAAAAACAGTTACACTGGTATCTTGACTAAGATAAAATCAAATTTCTAGACTGATTTGGGGAGAAATGACATCTTTAAAATGTTAAGAAATTCCCAGCCAGAAATAGCATACATCTCTTCCTTTAATAAATATTTTTTTGTTCCTCATAATTTTCTACTTTCCTTCATATTTTTTGTTATTTACTTCTAGGTATTATATTGCGCCAGCTAGAACTTTTGCTGTATTAAATAATGATAGTGAAAATACACATTTTGTTCCTGACTTCAGAGAGGCTGCTAGCATTCTAGCATCAAGTTTTAATGTTAACTGATAGTTTAGAATGGAAATTCTTTTTTCATGTTAATAAACTATCCTTCTAAGCATAGTTGATTCAGAGCTTTTTGGGTTTTTTAAATTTTTTAAGTAAATACGGGTTTATAATTTTATCAAAAGCCTTAATCATATGATAAAAGTAATCATATGGTAAAATGGTAGACAAGGTTATGGTAAGAAAATACAAACTAAAAAGAAAGCAAGTAAATGTAAGTAAAGAAACAAAGGAGAATAACAAGGTAGCCTTAAATGGAACAAAAATGGTCATTTTATATTGATAATGAATAAAATCAGAGTAAAATGTTAAAGTGCTAAATCAAGACATGAATTTTTTATGTGCTGAATAACAATGCATCAAAACACATACTGGAAAAAACTGTTAGGAACTGGGAAACAATAGCAGTAGGACACTTTAACCTGCTACTATGACTTCTCTCAGTAGTTTACAGATCAACCAATTGCTGTCGAGTGGATTCCAACTCACAGCGACCCTACAGGACAGAGAAGAACTGCCCCACAGGGTTTCCAAGGCTGTAATCTTTACGGGAGCAAACTGCCACATTTTTCTCCCACGGAACAGATGGTAGGTTTGAACCACCAACCTTTCTGTTAGCATTTGAGCGCTTTAACCACTGTGCGACCAGGGCACCTTGTTTATAGATAAAGTAGGTAAAAAATAATAAACACTGAGAGGAGCTGAAGACTGTGAGCCCTCATTGTTATCAGGCATCCTCCTGCCTCAGCTCCTACTCACTGTGCTTTATTTCACATGTGAACACTGCCTAGAGTGCCACTGCCACTGCCCACCCCTCTCTCCTAGAAGTTTCTGCCCAGTTGTTTCCATGAATGTGCAATCACCACCACCATTCATCTATCAGTTTATTTTTTTTTTATTTTTCCCATACAAAAATTTATACATGTATTCTTATGTGACTCTAATTGCTTTCCCCATACTGTGACAGCACACTCCTCCTTTCCAGCACTGATTCCCCGTGTCCATTTGACCAGCTCCTAACCCTCTCTGCCTTCCCATCTCACCTCTGGACAGAAGCTGCCCATTTAGTCTCTTGTATCTACTTGAACTAAGAGGCACACTCTATCACTTTATGTCCCACAGTCAAGTCCAATCCCTGTCTGAAGAGTTCTGGGCTGATAGAGAATCCAGAAGCCATCCAGAAGCCATGCTTTTCAGGGTACCTCCAGTCTCAGTCAGACCATTAAGTCTGGTCTCCTTACTAGAATTTGAGTTCTGC